AAAGCCCTGTAGGTAGGCAATGCAAGCAGCTGGACAGACAGCCTGGGGAAGACAAATCCATTTGTAGTCAGCTCATGGAGGTTTTGGTCCCAGTGAAAGTAGTTTCTGAAAGGTACCAAGGCAAGTTCTACCCCTGAAAAAACAGCATTAAGAAAGCAAACATTCTGATCAAGCACTCAGCCTTGCAGCCTGCTCTCCAGGACCTGCTAGGTGATGGGTACTGGTTCTGGCCAGCATTGCCAGTCCTGGTCCTGCTCCCCACACCACAACATCTTTTTTTTGTACAGTTCATCTGAACAGGGGCCTTTCAAACCCTGGACACAAGGAACTCAATTCTCCCTTGTGCCTCTGGCTGCCATATCTGGATGAGAGCTGTGTTTGAGCTCTTCTGAAGGGAAAAGGCAACACCCTCAAGACTGGCTCCAAGGGATCTCATTTCGCAATGGGTGTATGAAATCCTCCAGCAGAACTTGTCTGTCCTGAACTACATCACCAGGGAACACTATCAGTAATAAAGTCTCTCTTTCACAACACTGTGGGATTTCTGTACTCCAGCCAAATGCATTTGCTTTGAGTGAGTGACATTCTGATGTGTTCTGGGACAACTCCACAGGCATTTGCCAAGACACATGCTGGCTTCTTCAGACAAGAGACACACGGCAGTTTAAATTTGGTTTAGCTCTTGAGTCTCAAGTAGCGACAGGCCATCTGGCACATTTCAGGAATACTGGCACTTTCTGCTCAGAGAGGTCCAGGACTTACATAAGACAGACATGACAGGACAGGAGTGAAATGCACTGGCAGGTCTGTGTGCATGAAGCTTGCATGGCAGCAGTTAATCCAAGACAGTGCAGCCAGGACAGAACCCATCAGTCTGCTCACAGCCACTCGAGCAGCTCTGGGAGCAGCGCAAGAAGAGAACTGAGTGTTGTTGCAAGGGTGAGGAGCAGTGAGCGAGCAAGGGTCCAGCTAGGGGACTGCTGCTGGGAGGAGGAGGCATCACTCAAAATGGAGCTATGGGGACAGGCCCGCTTGAAGTCGGGGGTATGGGTCAGAATGCAGCTGTTTCAAAATCTCTTGGGAGAAGGGCAGAATAGTCCAAGGATTTTAGGCTGCATGTCTCCCTTGGGTTATGGTAGCAAAGATGCTGGTACTCAGAATCAGTACAAAAAAACCCCAGGAGAATCTGGAATGAGTTTGGGAATGTGGGGCAGACTGGGAAGCATGAAGGCAGCTTTTTGCACTGGAAAGCTTAGCTGTTGCAGCACTGACTTCTCTTTGACTTGTTCTGGCAACGTTGTATAGGACCAAGTCTGAATCAGTGGGAGAAGAAAGTGTGGTTTTGGTACTCCTAATAAAAAGGAGGTTAGTTTTAAGATGCAATTACAAGAAAATTGAAAAAAAAAAGAGAAAACCAGTTTTGTTGCTAGTTAGTATAATGAGATGTTCTTACAAGACTGATGACTGGGAAAATAGAGAATTGCCAATTCATTTACAGAAACAAAATCATTACCAAGGAATTTTTTTCTCACTAAAAGACAAATGTACAACTCCATTTATTGCAGCAACTGCCATCATGTGCATTGGCTCACAATCCATTCTGGGCATGGATCACAACACTACTCAATACCTGCCCCCAGGCATTTTTTCACTCCATACTCGAAACTTAACATTGGACAATGTCTGACACATGCACACAGATGCCACACAGACTGGTTCCATCTTACTTTCATTCTATATGACTTGCCTGTAAAAGTGAAGATTTAACCAAGAAGATAATGGTGTGATATGTCCTCCTTTGACTGACCTACTTTGAGCCAAAAGCTGGAGAAGTAAGTATGCAAAGCTACTTCTAATGCAGATTAAAATGTGATTTTGGCACAGTATCCCCACACAGACTAATCATACATTCAAAAAGGTTTTTTCCATCCTTTTTCCCAGATTCCTGTTGTCAAGAAAGGACCATTAATGATAACTCCCTGAGGCTCCTTCTCGTCATATTACCCAATGCCTCATTCACACCTAAGGCATCAGGACAGATGAAAGCAAAACACAGATGAGCAGTTCTTTCCCTGGTATTCAAACTTTAAATCAAACACCCACTTTGCTGTACTATAAACAGAGCTGCCTGTTTAGAGCACCAAAGCACTCCTGTAATATTTCTTTTTCTCTAAGATTTGACATTTCTCCTTTGAGAAGCAATTACAATAGAAGTGTCAAGCAAAAATAAATCCCTGTTAATCACAGTCACTGTGAGCCTGCCAAGTAAATCACATCTCAGCATTGCTGTTTTATTTTTCAGGTAGAAATAAGAAGTGTGTGAGAATGCCAGGCTCTAGAATTAAGCTCTTCCCAAGAGGGGGTACCACGTTTTTGAAAATACAAGCTCTTCCTCTTGTGTTCAGGACCTTGTACGGAATTAGACAAGCACTAAAACTGAGTATCCAATGATCATAAGAATAGTTCAGGTTGAAAAGATTCTCTGGAGGTTGTCTAGTGCAAACTTCATCCAAAGCAAGGCCAAGTGCACATTTGGGTCAGACTGCTCAGTTCAGCTGGGCTCAGGGGTCCCTGAACAGCTGCAAACCACTGGTTCCACAGCTTCTCCAGGCCACTGGGCCCATGCTCAGCTGCTCTGACCTAAATAACTTTTTCCCCTAAATCTAAATCTAGTTGGGATTTCTTTCCCTGCAACATGTGTTCATTGCCTTTGGTGCTTTCACCATGCACTCCAGAGAAAGGATCTGATCCTGTCTTCTCTATAGCCTCTCTTTCCCTTCAGTTTTTCGTTCCCCAGACTGAACAAATGCAGTGTCCTCAGCTTCCATTTAAATGTAGATGCTGTTGCCTCTTCACCCATCACAAGTACTGATATTTTAGATACATTTCTTTTGGTTTTGGTCTACAAATAGGCAGGTCTATGCATCTGAAAGGAGAAATGAGAAATGGAGAACACTTTATGCTCTCAGCTGGGCTATTATTTTCCCATACTTTTCAAACTCAGAAGCTTCATGTACTGTCCATGCATCGCAAGGGAGGTGTCTTCAAATCACCTGAAGGGAATGGTACTGAGCTTGTTCCCCTCCAAATCTGAGCATTTTTTGTGAGCTTTGGAGAGAGGTTTTGTTCTTATTTTATCTTCACCCTCTCACTATTCCCTGTGTTGTGAAAACCAGTCATTTCAAGACAATGCAATTGCAGCTCCTGTTCCAGAACCAAGTGCAAAGGAACAGTTTCAATCGTGCCAGGGAGCTCCTAACCATGGTTTAAAGATGCTGTGAGGTCTCCTGTTTCCTTTTTCTTTTGAGTAACATGAGGTACCTTGATGATTAGATCAATTACTTTTTTAATGCTATGAATATGAACAGGAATATCAGAAACCTGTTTTAGCTGAGTCAATCCTAAGACATCCAGTCTGTGTATTGCAGACTTGAGCTTATGCAATAAGTTTTCAAATCAGAAAACCGGTTGTTTTCCCCAGGAACCTTCAAGAATAATTAGCTCATACCTGATCCAGCCATAACCTGCAATTTAGTAGCATAATTTTCACATCTCATTCTGGATTCATGTTTCTTTCCCCTGTAAAACCCTAACCCTGAAATTGCCAGTTACACTGAGTCACCACCCTGAAATCAATTTCAAACAGAAGAGTCTGTTGCTCAATAAAAAGAAAATAATTGGACCAAGATGCCTTTAAGTAAAAATGTCATTCCAATTTTTATATTGCCTGACTTACCCCCAGAAACCCTTTAGATTTGTATTCCATTCCTGTAGCTTAAGTTGGACATTTTTTCTGATGCAAGGAAATCAAATCACTCTCCTGAATCAATCAAAACAACTTCAAACTCTGCTCAGTCCAACAATTTTTACAGTAAAAACATTTTTTAAGTGCTTTAAGTATCACATATGTTACTCTGCAGGGAACTCTCTTTGCAATGCCTTGACACCAGCTGCACTGCCAGCATCCCTGTTGACAAGAGGAATTTTTCCATTACTTTACAATAGGACAAAAATCCCAAGAGCGAGAAAGATCCCTTTGAAGTGCCAGTCTTCTCTCAGTTATTGGTGGTGTCTAAATGCAATAATGCAACTTTTACATTTTTAATGACCATTTGAATTTTACTGCAGTGAAATCACAGTCACAGAGAATGATGCCCCTCACTTCTCAGAACAGGAGGGGAAACTTCCCTAAACAGACTCATCAGTGTGAGTATCTGGTCTGATTTGGAAAGAGACTCAGCAAGATAGAGAAAACTGTATTTGCTTTACAAAGATACACAACATTATAAATTCAAAATGTCAGGAGTAATTGGGTATCTCACACTGGACAATGGTCTACTGGTGGAGAGAGGGAAAATAGTAGTTTTTGCCACTGTAGTCAATACTACTTTTGAAAATGGGTACCAGAAACCCAAATGCAAATCCTCCATACACTTCACATCATCCTGAATCGCTCATCATCTATCAATGGCAAAAGTCTCCATTGCACTGGAAGATATTCTGTCTGGAAATACATGGAAGAACAGTTTTGTACTCTCGCTTCCAGTTTCTGCACCACCCACGCTTTTGTACATAGAGCTTTAATAAAGCAGCACACATGCATGAAAGGTATTTCACATTCACCTGTAATTCAAGTCCAGTAGGAGTATCTGCATAGGAGTGAGAAAATACTTTCAACTCTCTTTCCTGACCTGCTGCCTAAGATTGTCCTACCCCTGTCATAGGGAATGACCCTGACTGGTGATACTCTGATAGCCACAAAAGCTATATAACATTTTTTAATAACTCATCCCAAAGAAATATAAATGCTTGCTTATTAAAACATAATTAAGAAATATTTGTTCAATGCTTCAGCCTGTAACAGAACAACGTGCAGAAAAATAAGCAGACAGAGGCATTTTTTCCTTATGTTGTTCCTTCTTTTTTGTGGCTTTAGCATGTTTGCTTATAGTCAGCAAGTACCAGCTTATGTTCTCTTCTCTGTTAACCAGGGTTCTTACCAGTGACGACACTGGGGATTTTGGACAGAAAGCTCTTGACAGTGCGGATGGGAACTCCACCTGTTTTGTCATCCTGCATTCTTGTAATGATGTCTTCAATCTGTCAAAAGAAAGGAAAGGCTTTGTGGTTTATGCAAAACAGTGATTGTAACGTTTACATATCATGAGTGCTTTGGAGGCCTGCTGGTAGGATGGTCTTCAAATATACCATGTGCATTACTGCACAAACACAGACCTAGAGACACAGCTATCGTCCAAATTTAAACCCTGAGATTAGAAATCTTGAGACAACAGACAAGCTTTGAAGACAGTGGTTGGATACTGACAAGCCAACTGCAACTGTGCTTTTTTTTTGCTGACCAGGGGTGACAGAAAGCTGCTGTTTACTCCACAGATGAACTGGGTTACACTTCAACCAGCTTAAGGAGCTTTCCATCTATTCTACTTTCACCTCTGTTCCCACATTCATTTGAATCCTCAATACTGTAACCTTGCAAGGGCTTTCATTTTCCAAAGGGTCCCAGACAGTCACTGCCTATGGCTTGAGAAGAATGCAAGACACAACAACTGGACTTCCCCTGCCTCATGCTGTAGGCTAGGATGCTATACGCCTGTGGTCAGCCTACAAGGTAAATAACCAGAGTAAATGACTGTAGAGAAAAACTCGTTGGAATTTCACAGCCAAGTTACCTTTTAGTTCTCAGGTACATGCATAATCCATTACATACAGGAAAATACACAATTGTCTTCAAGAGCCATGGCAATCAGAAGATCCAATTACTACAGGAAGGAGCTTAATTCTCCTCCTGTTTACTCTAAAACGGGAAGGAATTTTTGCTCCTTTTAAGGCTACTGCCCATACATTTACTTGAAGGCAACACCAGGGAGAACAAAAAGCTAAACAGAAGCACAGTGCAGAAATTCAGTATCTCCAAAAACTCTCTTCAAGTTAATAAGGTCTCAGAAGCCCAACAAAAATAAACCCAAAACTGTTGTCTTTGTTAGCTCAAGCAGCTGACAGCACAGCCCTACCTGCTGTTGGTGACAGGGGCCGAGGGCAGCCAGACAGGGAGTACGGCTCTGATTGTACCTAAAGATTTTCTCCTCACAGATGCTACAAAATGTAACCCCAGCAGAAAGGTTACATGGTGGGAGCACAGTCCCTCTCTCTCCTAAGGCAGCCTAAGAGCTCAACGTGCTCTCTTCAACTCAGAAAGCTGCTTCATTTAGATGCACAAGTGATTTTTTTTCACAGACTTAACACCTACATTTCAAAACAAGTTTAATTTCAAGTCTTCCCAAGGTGGTAAGACAATCTCCCTGCCAACTTCAGACACTGAATTTGATCACTGTGTTTTTAACCTCAGGTTACCACTTAACTGAACTGTTCACACCTTGTTTATATATTACTTGTAAGTTAACACATGTCCTGAACAAATTCTCAGTGGGAATGAAGTCACAAAGATGAAAATATCCTGACATACTTAATAGGTTACATGACAGTTGGGTACCTACAATTAATTTCTGAGAGAATAATGCTACTTTTTCCACAACCCAATCTCTATGAAAATTAATACCACCTTTTCCCCTTTAGCTGAGCTTTATCCAAAGTTATTTGCTGATTAAAAACGTAGGGCTTTTTTCCAGTCTGAGCATATCTGGAGAAGGAACTGCTCATCTCTGATACCTGGAGGGGTAACTGCTCTTCTCCAGAGTGGACAAGAAGCATTTCACTGTGTTGAGGGGAGCCTGACAGCATCACTTGTCATCAACTCAGACCTACCTAAGGCTATGGTGCTCCAATGCCAGACCTACCAGAGGGACATGGCATCTCAGTTGCCTGCGAAGGGTGAACACAAAATCACAGAATGGAGCAGGTTGGAAGGGACTACAGTGGGTCATCTGGTCGAACCTCCCTGCTCAAGCAGGGTCATCGTAGAGCACACTGCCTCCAGACAGTTCTTGAATATCTCCAGTGAGAGAGACTCCACAACCTCTCTGGGCAACAGTCACCTACACAGTAAAGAAGTTCTTCCTCATATGCAGGTGGAACTCCCTGTGCATCAGTTTCTGCTTGTTGCCTCTTGTCCTATTGTTTGGCACCACAGAGAAGAGCCTGACTCCATTCTGAGTTTTAAACTTCATCCAAGGTCAGTCAGACTAAGAACCACTTCTGCAAGGCAATGAAAAAGCCTGTTACGTACCTTCATCTGTATGCACTTGTAGCTGACATCAGAGGAAGATTTTCTCCATGCATATTAGGAGGAAACTACCCTAGAATGTGTTATGAGTCCTCCACATCTCCAGGAACACTTAAGAGCTTCAAAAATCACAAGCATAGTTTTTGGTAAAACTGTTATTTTCTCTTTTTTCACTTCAATGAAAAATTTAGAATGAAAAATAAGCTAAAAAAAATTATTTCAATGCAGGAAAATAAACTTCTTATTCTTTTGCTCACTGTAAGCTAAAGAAACATCAGCATGATTTATGCCATTAACACCCTATGAAAAGTTCCATTTCAAGCAAAATAAAACTTTAATTATCTTAAAAGAAAGATACATTGTTTTTACCTAAACTATTCTCTGTTTCAAGCAATCAGGCAGGCACTGGTATCTCAAGTGGGGCCATTAATTTCAGTTTCAGTCACAATTACAAAAGCCTGCTGCAATTTTAAATCAAAAATAAAGAAAACTACTCCAGGGAACTCCTTCCCAAATGGCTCCTTCTCACTCTTGTCTTCCAGTCTGACTACTGGCACTTAATGCTCTCCTTATTTCTTCTTTCCTTTCCTTTCTATTCAAATGCCATATCTCCTTTCTTCCCTGTCCTCTCATTTGGTCTAGACATGACTACACGTCATCCTCCCTCAGCACACACTGCATTTTCAGTCTGCTGCCCAAGAGTCCCCAGGGTTACAAGGTCCTCATTGTACATACTCTTTCCATTCCCAACATGCTTTCCTTGTGCTCTCCAGGAAAATTTTTGCACTGCTCAGAGGGGACAGCATCGCATACTCAAAGAAACATTTGATGATAATTTTATCCTTTCTTAAACCTATAATCAAGTATTAATTAAAATATTAAAAACCTGTATCTAGCAACCTATGTCCAGTTTTTGTTCAGTTCACTACAAAGAGAAGATCTGACCCTTTCTATCAGCCTTTGTTTTGCATGCATCCAATGCTTGCAGATATTACTAGCCTGGATCCAAATTCCTGCTGAGCTATGGAAATGTTTCATGAATTAAGTGATACAGTGACAAAGCGGAAAAAAAGTGATTATTAGAGCTTCAAGTGTGGAGAAAAGCAAAGAGGGAACATCAAGTGTGAAGGTCACTTTCATCAAAGCTTTTCATCTTAGCTTTTAAGAGAGATACTTAGACACTTGAGTGCTAATGAGTCTCCCTTCAGCTTCTGCATGTCATTAAATATCCCTTAGGTTTCCCTGTTTGCCAGAGCCCCCGGACAGTTCATTTCATCAGGGTAGGAAGCAAGAACGAGCGCAACAAAGCATTCTCATATTTATCACTCCTAAATGAGCAAGCTTCAGTGAACTAACTTCTGCCCAACAAAAGTCATAGTAAGAACAGGCAATAGTTTTTTTTTTATATGACAGGGGTCACTGCTCTTTCAACATAGTCTGATTTTGCATCATTAAAGGGAATGGTTATTCTTCCCTCCAAGTGGATTCTGGGTCAGTATCTCCCCAAGAAAGCCAGAGCAATTCATGTATCTGCTGTCACTGTTAGCTACACACTGTAATGTATGCCTAACAAACCAGATCTGCCTTTCCTCCTGACTGGTTGCTGACAACTCTGCTCCCTACATTTATCCAGAATGTTTTTATTTCACATTATTCCATTTGCATTGCATTGAAAAGGGCTTCTGGCTTCAGGAACACATTAGTGGAGACATAAACTACTGCAAGTGGTTTATGAGAGGCTACCAACATACTCTCTGACACAGAATGTGTTGGGGATTTAATGTATATGTAGGATTTGCTAGTACTCATAAGACCTTCTTTTCCACTATCAGCACTTTTGCTGGCCTAAGGAGATTGAAGGCACACAGTAGAAGACCTTGAATTTCTGTCAGAGCCAAGATGTCTATCACTGGAAGATGAGAAGTCCTTTTTCTGAGGAAGGGGCAAATAAAAGATTACATTTGTTGATGTGTTAGAATAACTGAGTCATAATACAACAACAAATGTAACAACCACAGCCTGGGAACTTTGGGTCAGTGTCACACAACATTCCTGTCGCTACCATTATAAGAGGGAAAATGACTCTCAGCTTTGCAGTAGCTTTTCTTTCTCCCAGCACCAAAGTAAAGCAGGTACCCCTTCTGCTGCACATTAGCATGCACAGCCTTGCTGAGCCCTGGTCAAGGTCAGCCTTGAAGGTGACATGCTGAGGGGAAGGGCAAGTAACACATGAAAAAGAAAAGCTAACAGTTCCCACCTCCCACAGCCCCATGTCCGGACACCAACAGCAGCTACTGGAGCTACCTGGCTGAACATGTTCAATTGCGACTGAGTGACGACCACATAATGATGTCAGAGGCCACCGCAGTCCCATTTTATTTTTGTGAGTTAGTGAGGAAAACAATGCACTTTTCATATTCTAGCCTCTGAATTAGCTGCACAAACTCCCTTGGACCCTGCAGGAAAGCTCCTGCTGCGTATTTCTGATTATTTTGGTATGCACCAGGTTCCTGACCAATTACTCACAGCAGCTACCCTACTCTTGGGGGGATTCCTGTCACCAGCTAACCCGTGGCTGGAGAGTCTCCAAGCATCACTCATCAGTGCTAATATTAAATGTATAGGGTTAGACAGACAGCTTTGTGCAATTGCAAATATCCTTTTTGACCTGGCTGACAGCAGCTCTCATGCATACTGGTGGAGCTGGATGGTGTGTGGAGGAAAAGGTCAATCTGTTGTCAGCTAGCATGATGGCAATAATTATAAACACATTTGATCTTTTACTCTTGACTGAAATGTAAGTTTAAAATAGACTGTTTCTCACAGTGCCAACTCTTATGGGTCCCGTAAGTGCCTCTGACTAGCCCTCTGACACTGCCAGTATGCCTGTACCTTTTGC